ACCGTGGTCCGGTGAAACTCACATTTCTCAGCTTTTACAAATAACTGATGCTGATACAGCCGCTGCAGCACCTGACGGACGTGACCCACATGCTCCTCTTCAGTCTGGGAAAAGACCAGGATGTCGTAGAGATAGACAAAAACATATACATTCAGCATCTCTCTCAGAACGTCGTTAATCAGCGACTGAAAAACAGCAGGAGCATTAGTAAGTCCAAAAGGCATTACCAGGTACTCATAGTGGCCACTGGGGGTGTTGAAAGCCGTCTTCCACTCGTCTCCTTCACGAATCCGAACCAGATGGTAGGCGTTGCGCAGGTCGAGTTTGGTGAAGACACGAGCCCCTTGAAGCAGTTCAAACGCCGATGAGAGGAGTGGCAATGGGTAGCGGTTCTTCACCGTGATATCATTCAGTCCCCGGTAATCAATACATGGACGAAGGGTCTTATCTTTCTTGTCCACGAAGAAGAACCCAGCTCCAGCAGGGGAGGAAGAAGGACGGATGATCCCTGCCGCTAGCCCTTACTGGATGTATTTATCCATGGCCTTCCGCTCAGGCGCGGATAAAGAGTACAGACGGCCCTTGGGTGGCATAGTTCCAGGAAGCAACTCAATAGCACAATCATACGGGTGGTGTGGAGGTAAGGATGCGGCCCGGCCTTTGGAGAAAACCTCCTTTATGTCTAGGTAGACCCTTGGCACCATGGACAAATCTGGGAACTCAAAAGAAGAATCAGCAGACCTATGGGGAACAGGCAGAGAGAGCAGGCAGGCTGACTGGCAGGCTAGGCTCCATCCTAACACCCTGCCTGTAGCCCAGTCCATCAGGGGGTTATGTCTACACAACCAGGAGTAACCCAGGATAAGAGGGAAGTGGGGGGAATCAATGATCAGGAAAGAAATAGTCTCTTTGTGGTTACCTGACATCTGCAGAGACAGGAGAGGAGTCTGTTCGGTAACCCATCCAAGCAGGTGGCCATCGAGGGTGCAGGCATGGTGCGCTTCAGGGAGAGGCTCGAGCTGCAGGTCCAGCTGGCGGGCCAGGTCCCGGTCCATAAAACTTTCATCAGCGCCGGAATCGATGAGAGCTGATAGATCCAGGACATTCGTGGAGGAAGTGATGAGCTGAACTGGGGTCAAGGCGCGTTTAGGTGCAGAGGCGCTTGCTGAGTGGCTCACCAGTAGGCCTCTGGTTACCGGTGAGCCTGGTCTTTTACCTGGCACCGAGCTAGGAAGTGACCGGTTCCCCCGCAGTGGAGACAGAGTCCCTCACGCTGGCGGTGACGTCGCTCCTCTAGACTTAGGCAAGTCCGACCAAGCTGCATGGGTTCCACTGGGGGGCTAGACGGTGTAATTCCCAAGGCCGTTGCAGAGCCATGCTCTCCCCGATTCAGCCGATCCACATGGCCCGTTGGCCGGAGCTGCTCCCGTTCATGTCGCCGGTTGTCAACCTTGATAGCTAGTTCCACGAGAGCTTCGAAACTGGTAGGGAGATCAACCATGGTCAGTCTATCTTTTAAATCCTCAGAAAGACTCAAAAAAAAGTGTCAGCAAGGGCCTCATCGTTCCAGCGACTCTCAGCCGCCAGAGTGCGGAACCGGATGGCATGATCAAAAACACGGCTACTGCCTTGCCTGAGCCGACCCAGTGCACGGGCTGCCTCCCGGCCCGAAACAGGTTGACCAAACACACGGGCCAAAGCAGCAGAAAAGGCATCCACAGAGGCACAAACGGATGAACCCCTCTGCCACTCAGCAGTGGCCCACTCTCTCGCCCGCCCGGTGAGATTTGTGATCATGAAAGCCACTTTAGAGCGTTCAGTGCAGAAGGTGATGGGCTGAAGCTCGAAGGTTAGCGAGCAGAGAGTCAAAAATGAGCGACAAGTCTCAGGAGTTCCATCATACCTCTCAATAGGCGGAGCACTCGGCTCAGAATGGTGACCCAGGGAAGCAGAGGGAACTGAAGGTGAAGAGGAGATGTCAGGGCTCGAAGCAACAGTTTGCAGTGTATCCAGGCAAACCATCAGCTGGTTAGTCTGAGTTGCCAGGGTTTGCAGCTGGGCAGACAACGACTGAACTCCAGGGCCCAGGCTGGAAATGGCCCTCTCCAACTCGGTTAGCCGTCTTCCCTGCGCCCCCAGAGCATGGCAAAAATCCTCACCTGCTGGGTCCGTCATGGCCAGATTGTACTGTAAGAGGCCGAGAGTGTGTGGACCCAAAAGCAGAGGACGTGAGGCAATTGTTCAGTTTCCAAAGGGCAAACTCTTTTATTCCAACAAAAGAAACCCGGCAGGGTCAAAAATCAGAGCAGCCAATAATCAGGCGACAAAAACCAGTGGGACAGGCAAGAATCAAAATCCAGGACGATCAAAACAGGTCATACACGGGGAGCAGAGATATGGCGACAAAAACCAGTGGGACAGGCAAGAATCAAAATCCAGGACGATCAAAACAGGTCATACACGGGGAGCAGAGATATATCAAAAACGAGAGAGAGCTTGTACTGAAGTGACAAAGACAATCTGGCAGGGAAGAGCTAGTGAGGAGGGGTTAAATAGAGAAGGGAGCAAGACACAGGTGAAGCCAATGGGGTAATTAACTAAGGCGGGAAAAGGAACAAAGACCGGAAGTAAAGGTAACAGCAACACAGGGAAAACAGGATCTTCAAAATAAAACAGGAAGTGGATTTCACAGCACAGATCATGACACATCTTGGGTAGGCCAAGATGTATTAGACCTGGATTTAGCTTGAAACATGTAACAGTATACATATTTAACTAAATGATCGGCATCTACACTGTTTATTAATAATTTGAGTGGATATGTTTGATGTCGTATCCAAGGAAAAGCAATTTCTTATGCAACCAAATTTCCTGTAATGTTAAGACACTGTTGATGAAAACTGTTGTAGGTAAAAAGTTCTCAGAGAAACAGCCAAAACAGGTAAAAAGTTCCTATAGAGGAACAACCAAACAAGTAAAAAGTTCTCTTAGAGGAACAACCAAACAGGTAAAAAGTTCTTATAGTTCTCGGACTCTATTCTCGTGCCTGCCTGCAGCGCGGCGGATGGTGGTGCACCCTGCGCAGTGGTGTTTTCGTCTGGCAAAGCTTGGCACACAGCCAGTTTGGTATTTTGATAGACTAAGGCGCACCGAGGTGCTCCAAGCTGGGCGTGGTGGCACGGTACAGGGGGGTGTCGACAGAATCAGCTGGTGCAGTGACATTTTTGTGCTCACCAGCGGCATGGAAAGAGCGCTGAAAGCTCGCCGATTCAAACCTGGTCAGCTTTCAGCGAAGGCGGAGCACAGCTGGTCTAGTGGTATTTTGGTAGACCGGCGGCGTAGTGCGCATATGTGCCTCACAGGCAGGTTTCCACAGTGTCAGGCACATTTCATGGCAATAAAAAATCAACAACAACCAATATTCAGTGCAACTGTCTGAGTCAGCAGATATACATTTAGATCTATATGGATATGTTTTGATCTGATGAGTGCATTTGGCATGCATTTGGACACTCAACCTGACCGAATTAACACAGCTGAAACCGCACTTAATTAAATATCTAGTAAAAAGTCACACATGATGAAGTTAACAAGATATTTGATTTGTCTCCCCCCTATTTCTTCGCTTTCCTCGCACAGCTCGACCCGGATATGTCTCCAGACAAGTCTCCATGTCTTCTCCCAGTCCTGCTGCTGCTGCGGCGACAAGACTGACACTTATGTCAGTGAATGAGTTATTTACTTCAAAAATTTAAACAAAAAAAAAAGAAACTTTCATTCAACATTACCTGTTTATCTAATGTTCTCACATCCTTAAAATTCTGTGAATATTCGATCTGGAGTCAGGCCCACATACGAATATTATAATATTTAGTTGTGTGAGCCAAGTCCATTTTATATGCCAACATTAATGAAAGAAAGAGCCAGGCCACAGAGCGCAAGCGTCCTTTACACACAGATGGTTCCGATTTTAATGCCATTATTGGAATTGATGTTGTGATTTGTGCGCACAACCCACCTTAGTCATGTGGGATTTAAATATATGCAACTTGATGTGAGTGTCTTTATTTGTGGAAAAGGGTGTTTGTCTTACCATAGTGTCCAACCTTACACACATCAAATCCCCGTGCTTTTTTGAGAGAGTGTGGAGGATGCCCTCTGCAGAGCTTACCATGACACTTGTTGAGGGGCTGCCTTTTGTCCCCATCATGTGGCATTGTTTCCTTCAGCCATCTCTTGATCTCTTTGACTACTTTTTCAGTTCCAAGACATCCAGAGGGTCGCAGGCTGGAGAGGTCGCAGGCTGGAGAGGACGCTGGCGTTGACTGTTCGCCGCTTCTCCATACCTGTTGACCCTAAACCCCCACAAATTATACAAATTCCACCCTCCACAGCTAGGTTGTTGTTCCACTAAACTCTGGGTTCTTGATTTTCCCCCGGATTGTGTCCCTGGTACTGCACAAACCCCCCCGGGAGTCGTCTGTGTGGTGCCTCGCAAGCCTGGTGCCCCTTCAGCTGGGACGGCGGCGCTGACTCGGTGCTAGCTGCTAGACTGCAGCTAGCCCCTGTTATATCAACCTCTCGCCGTCTAGCCAATCTCCCCGGCTTCTGCATGTCATCCTCCCTCGATCGGATGTCTGCATGTGGGCTGCCATCTCTGTGGAGGCTCTGGACATTTCTGGGCTGTGCGGCTGCCATCCATCGTCGCTCGCTGGGATCCTGGCTAATGGCTAACACCGACACTCCAGGCTACTCCACTGTCATCTCCACACCGCTTCGGAGCTTCCATCACATCAGCATTCCCTCTGGTCAACTCCAACTACCTCACCGACCTCGCTACATCCACAGAGGATCTGGTCGCCGGTTTGTTTTGTCCAAACACGACGATCCTGGTAACTCTCACCGAGCCATTACATCCCTCTGGTCGGCTGGTCGCACAACAATGGCGTCATCAGAACGCCGCTACTACAACCGCTAAAGACAGGGGCGTGTATGGCCGGATGGATAGAAAACCCGGCGTGGACTACAGCGTCCTGCGCCCCCTAAACGGACCGGACTCTGCAAGCCATTCCACACTGGAACTACTCAACGTTCAGTCACTCACAAACAAAGCCGGACTCATCACAGACAAACAAATTGACATTCTCTGCCATACAGAGACCTGGCAACAGCCTGAGGTCTACTCTGCCCTCAATGAGGCCTGTCCCCCTGGGTACAGCTACCTCAGCAAGGCCCGGACTACAGGTCGGGGGGGGTGGCCTCGCTGTTTTTCACCGCAGCACCATTCAAACCTCTCCACTGTCTGCCCCACCCTTCAACACTTTTGAACATCTGGTTTTTAATTGCAAACACATCACATCGCATAACACCACCTCTGCAACCATAGCACTCATTTATCGCCCCCCCAAACCACATCCATTATTCCTCTCTGAAATTCATGACTTTCTCATCTCACTTTGCACCTCACACTCAAACGTTCTGGTTCTGGGGGACTTCAACATCAACATGGACTCACTCTCCTGCAAACTGGCTGCTGAATTTAAACAGGTTCTGGACTGCCTCAATCTCCATCAATCCGTTGTTGGACCCACCCACACAAAGGGCCACACACTGGACCTGGTCATCACAGATTCCATCCACATCTCAGACCTTCACGTCCAGAACATTGGCATCTCAGACCATTATGCAGTCACCTTCAGGACCCCTCTACCCTCCCCCCTCACCAAACCCCAGCGCCTTATAGCATTCAGAAATTTCAAGAACATTGACTCCACCTCCCTCAGTCAGCATCTCCAGCTCCTCTCTCCTCCTCCAAACACATCACTTACTGATCTCATGGACTACTACAACCACAATCTTCACTCTATCCTTGACTTTCATGCTCCTCTGAAAACCAGGACAGTCACCTTCACCCGTTCCGCCCCCTGGTTCACAGAGGAGCTGAGACGACTAAAAAGGACTGGCCGAGTCCTGGAGCGGGCCTATGTCACATCTGGGCTGACGGTGCATAAGTTGGCCTACCAGGAACACCGTCGGAGATATGCCAATGAACCTTCCAAGGCCAGGTCAGCACACTACTCCAACATCATTAACAATAACCCAGGTAACTCCAAACAACTCTTCACCACAGTTAAACACCTTCTCAAACCTCAGACCTCACCACACCATAACCAAACAGTCACCCAGTGCAACGAATTCATGGATTTTTTTACCTCAAAAATACACCATATCCGTGCATCTCTCTCCTCCGCCAACAGTTCTATCCCGTCAAGTGACATTGCTCCCACCACACAACACCTGTCTCAATTCACCCCCACAGTGCAGCAGGAGGTTGAAAAAATAATCAGTAAATCCAAACCGTCCACATGCTCCCTCGACCCCTTTCCCTCCCCTCTGCTTAAAGCTCACTGTCATTCCATCAGTCAACTAATAACAAACATAATAAATCTCTCTCTTCAAACCGGCCATGTTCCAGTCAGCCTCAAAACAGCTATCATCAAGCCCCTCCTCAAAAAACCCACTCTTGATCCTAGCTCCCTGTCAAACTACAGACCTATCTCCAATCTCCCCTTCATCTCCAAAACTCTCGAAAGAATTGTATCCATCCAACTTCACAACCATCTTAAATCAAACAGTCTATATGAAAAATTCCAATCTGGCTTTCGTCCGTCCCACAGCACCGAGACAGCTCTCATCAGAGTCACCAATGTCCTCCTGATGACCTCTGACTCCGGCTCCACGTCCCTCCTCATCCTTCTCAACCTCTCTGCTGCGTTTGATACTGTTGATCACCACATCCTCCTTCATCGCCTCCATCACGACATTGGTATCTCTGGCACCGCCCTTCAATGGTTTCACTCCTACCTCACGGGAAGGATCGAGTTCGTGGCCCTGGGGGATGCTAAATCCCGCCCTCACACTGTTGTCTGTGGGGTCCCCCAGGGCTCCGTGCTCGGTCCAACCCTCTTCACCATCTACATGCTCCCCCTTGGTCGTGTCGTCAGCAGGCATGGAATACAATTCCATTGCTATGCTGACGACACACAACTCTACCTCAAGATCACCCCCTCCTCCACTCCCCCCTCCTCTGTCACCCAACTGGACTCCTGCCTGGAGGAGATAAAGGCTTGGATGAGTGAAAACTTTTTACAGCTGAACAGCTCCAAAACAGAGGCCATTCACATCGGTACTCCCCACCAGCTCCGTTCTACCCACTTTTCATCAGTCTCTTTTCTCGGCCACAACTTTTCCCTCTCTCCTTCTGTGACTAACTTGGGAGTCAGGTTTGACCCCCATCTTAGCTTTGACTATCACATCAACCATATCTGCAAGACTTCCTTCTTTCACCTCCGTAATATCGCCAAACTCCGGCCATTTCTCTCTCGTCCTGCAGCAGAGAGACTCGTCCATGCCTTTGTCTCCTCCAGGCTCGACTACTGTAACGTGCTTCTCATCGGGATCCCGGCCAAGAGCTTACAAAGGCTCCAACATGTCCAGAACAGCGCCGCCCGGGTCCTGATGAGAGTGCGTAAACATGAGCACATCACCCCCATCCTTTGCACTCTGCACTGGCTCCCTGTTCACCTCCGCATTGAATTCAAAATCCTCCTTCACACCCATCACTGTCTGCACGGTGCAGCCCCCACCTACCTCACCAAACTCCTCACCCCACATACCTCAGCCAGAACCCGGTCAGGCCAACTGCACCGTCTGCGCCCGCCCAGGACTCAGCTCAAGACCATGGGTGACAGGGCCTTCGAGGCTGCTGCTCCCCGTCTGTGGAACGCCCTCCCCGACCACCTCAGGGCTCCACAGTCGGTGGATGCTTTTAAAAAAGAACTCAAAACCTTCCTCATTCGGAAAGCCTACCCGGACTAATTTTATCTGATTTTATCTGCTGACTGTTTTTTATGTTGACTGTTTTTTTTTTTTTTTTTTAATTGTTTTGCCCTGTTGCTTGGTTTTTACTGTTATTGTTGTCTTGTTGTGCACTTTGAGATTTGTTTTTAAATGTAAAGTGCGTTACAAATAAAATCTATTATTATTATTATTACTTCACGAAAATTGTAATATGCCTCACCGGTGGCCGGTGGGGAGAGGAGCTTCTGTGATTGGTGAAAACAGGTCTCAGCTGTGTTTAACCCACTCTACGCCCTATCTCCTCCCTCTCTACTACTTACGCCATTGGGAGGAGCTGAGTTAGGGAGGGGGGATACTTACGCCCGGCAGTGCCGCTCACCAAAATACCAAAACGTGCTTTGGCATGCCTTGTTGGCATGGCGCTGGTGCGGCAGACCCGGACCTTACGCTGCGCCAGTGCCACGCCACCGGCAAGGCACGAAAATAGAGCCCATTATAGAGGAACAACCAAACAGGTAAAAAGTTTTTACAGAGGAATGACCAAGCAGGTAAAAAGTTGTGCAATGCTGGAAAAAAAAAAACAGCTGGTGGAACATCTCCAACTAATGAGGCTGATTTCCAACAGGTTAGTAACATGACTGTGTATAAAACGGACATTCAGAGAGGCTGAGTCTATCAGAAGGAAAGATGGAAGAGGTTCACCACTCTGTGAGAGACTGTGTGAGCTAATAGTTGAGCAGTTTCAGAATAATGTTCCTGATTGTCAAATGTGAAAGAATGAGTGGATTTCATCATCTACAGAACATCATATCTGTGAGAGGCCGAGAGTGTGTGGACCCAAAAACAGAGGACGTGAGGCAAATGTTCTGTTTCCAAAAAGGCAAACTCTTTTAATCCAGAAAAACCCGGCAGGGTAAAAATCAACAGGGCAGCAATGATCAGGCGACAAAACCAATGGGGCAGGCAAGAATCTGAAGTCCAGGGAGATCAAAACAGGTTAAACACAGAGGGCAGAGAAATATCAGAACGCGAGAGAGCTTGTATAAAAGTAACAAAGACAATCTGGCAGGGAAGAGCTTGTGAGGAGGGGTTAAATAGAAAAGGGGACAAGACACAGGTGAAGCCAATGGAGTAATTAACTAAGGCGGGAAAAAGAACAAAGACAGGAAGTAAAAGTAAAAGTAACACTGGGAAAACAGGATCTTCAAACTAAAACAGGAAGTGGATTCAACAAAACACAGATCATGACAATATCATATAAAGATTCAAAAAATCTGGAGAAATCTCTGTACTAAAGGGACAAGGACAAAAACCAAGACTTAATGGTCCTGATCTTTAGGCCCTCAGGTAGCACTGCATTAAACACAGACAGGACTCTGAATAGGAAATCACTGCATGGACTCTAAATCTCTTAAGGGGAAACCATATATACATGTGCATCCCTGATGATACGGGGATGCACATGAATGATCAATTCATTTAGAAAGTCATACAGCCTGGCTTTTCTTTGGTGTAAGACTCAATGCTTGGATCTAAATGCATAAACACATAATCACACAAAGTTCCTCTTGTGCTGGGAGAATAAATTCTAGAAGTTCATATAAATGAAATTATATAACCCTAACTCCTTCAACCTAATTACACTGTTGTGTCCAATAAGGATGTAACAAACTTCAGCCACATGGGTGTTCTCTGTTTGGTGAGTAAAACAGGGTTTGACATGCCCTTCAAATCAAATCAAATCAAATCAAATCAAACTTTATTTATATAGCACTTTTCAGGCAAAAGAAATGCAGCACAAAGTGCTTTACAATTTAAAACAATGAGCTCCCCCAAATCCAGACCGCCAATCTGACCCCCCAACCCTCACCGAGAGCCTACCCCAACACACACACACACACACAGATAATGCAATCTTAAAAGCGTGTGGCTGAGTACAGAGGAGCCAAGTCAGGAAACGTCAGGAGGCCGACTGCACTGGAGGCTGCTCACGACCCAGGGCCAGGACACCTCCACCCGGGTGCGCACCCCGCTACAAGCCAGTAAGGGGCCCACAGCAGCAGGCACTGCTGCAGACCACCATCTGGCCGAGCTGAGTGCACACCACGAGGCAGAGAAACCCTAGACAGAACCAGTCACAGCCTCCAGTGCAGGTGGTCCCCCTACTGAGGAAACACTGGAGAAAGGCAATAAAAACATGAACTAAATCAGCCAAAAACATCAAACTAGATAGAATTATAGAATACTGATAAATAGCTAAAATACCATTTAAAAATAGGTAAATAAATATAATAAACATAACATGTAAAATGAGGATTAAAATATATGAATGAGCTAAAATAAGATAAAAATAGGATAAAAATAAGACATTAGTTAAAAGCCAAATTAAATATGTGGGTCTTGAGCCTGCTCTTAAAAATATGAACATTCTCTGCGACCCTAAGGTCCTCCCGCAGGCTATTCCAAAGACGGGGGCCATAGTGCTGGAAAGATGCCTCACCGTAAGTTCATGTTCTCACTTTGGGTACTATTAAAAGGCCAGTGCCAGAGGATCTCAGGGTCCGCGAGGGTTCATATTGTAAAAGCAATTCTGAAAGATAAGAAGGTCCAAGACCTCTAAGACATTTAAAAACCATTAAAAGGACCTTAAAATCAATCCTAAAGCACACAGGGAGCCAATGCAGTGATTTTAAAACCAGTGTAATGTGTGCCCGCCTTCCGGTCTTTGTCAGCACATGTGCTGCTGAGTTTTGCAACAGTTGTAAACTCGCAATGTTTCTTTTTGGAAGACCAGAAAGCAGGGCGTTACAATAGTCAAGACGACTGGAGATAAAAGCATGCATTAGCATCTCTGTGTTAGCCCGGGAGAGAAAGGGGCGGACTCTGGCTATATTCTTTAAATGATAAAAACCTGTTTTTGTTATATTTTTAATATGTGGAATAAATTTCAGCTCAGAGTTAAAGATGACACCCAGATTCTTTACCTAAATTTGATGGAATTAAAGACAGGGTTTTCAGTTTTGATAAAAGTTTCTCTCCCTGAGCCTTAGGTTCGATAATTAAAACCTCAGTTTTGTCCTGGTTGAGCTGTAGGAAGTTTTCTGCCATCCAGGATTTAATCTCTTGGATACAGCTAAAAAGGGCATCAATTGGCCCTGTGTCATCAGGAGACATGGATATGTAGAGCTGTGTGTCATCAGCATAGCTGTGAAAAGTGATACCATGCCTCCTGATGACATCTCCCAGTGGGAGCATATATAAATTAAAAAGTATGTGGCCTAAAATTGAGCCTTGGGGTACACCACATTTAATGCTATGAATCTTTGAAGAGCATGTGTCAAAACTTACAAGAAAATTTCGATCTGTGAGATAGGAGTTAAACCATTGAAAGGCAGTACCAGAGAGGCCTACAAGGTGCCTTGGTCTATTTAAAAGAATTGTGTGATCTACTGTATCAAAAGCAGCACTTAGATCCAGTAGCACAAGAACTGTAAGCTTGTGTGAGTCCAAGTTGCACCTAAGATCATTAACAATTTTCAGTAGTGCAGCCTCGGTACTGTCCTAAATCCAGATTGAAATTTTTCAAGGATGGAATGGTTGTTTAAAAAATGATTCAACTGAATATAAACAAGTTTTTCAAAAATTTTGCTTAAAAGTGGTAAGTTGGACACTGGTCTGTAGTTATTAAGAACATTAGGATCCAAATTGTTCTTCTTCAGAAGGGGTCTCACTACTGCTGTTTTAAGGGCAGCAGGGAAAGACTCTGTCTGAAGAGAACAATTCACTATATTTAAAAGCTTGCCTTCAAAGAATCCATAAAACATTTTAAAAAGTGATGTGGGAATTGGGTCTAAAAGGCAGGTTGTTGGTTTTACTTGGGAGAAAACTACCAAGCATCTCAGCATCAACCAGGACAAAACTGTCTAGTGTTTCCTCAGGTAAAAACAAGCTTTCCACTGTATTAGAAACAGTGTTTTGAATAGATAAAATAGAGGATCGTATAAAATCAATTTTACCCTTGAAGTGGTCTGCAAAACCTTCACAAAGTGTGTCTGAAGGAGTGATTTGATATCTGTTAAAAACCGTGTTGATTAAAAGATCAATTGTAGCAAAGAGGATTTTTGGGTTATTCTTATGATCCGTGATTATGTTGGTAAAATAGGTGGCTCTTGTGTGTCTGAGAGCTTCATTGTAGATTTTCAGTTGCTTGCAGTACATTTGATGATTAATTGTAATTTTACTTTTCCTCCATCTCCGCTCAGCTACCCTGCAATTTCTTTTTAGTTTTTTGATTTCCTCATTTCTCCACGGCGGAGTGCGCTTAGGCAGTACCTTTTTTGTTTTCAGTGGAGCTACAAGGTCGAGGGTGGTTTCAAGTTTGTTGATAAAATGTTGAACAATAAAATCACAGGATGCAGGTAGAGTTGCTGAGGGATACTTGCTCAAGATCTCGATAAAATTTGCAGCCACTTCTGAAGTAAAATAGCATTTCCTGACAGTTCGCACCAAGGTCTCCTGCTGAATAAAACTGGTGATATTAAAAAACAGACAATAATGGTCCGACACAGCCAGGTCAACAATAGAGGACACACTGGCTGACAGGCCATAGCTGAGGACTAGATCCAAGGTGTGTCCTCTGTTGTGAGTCGGCTGTGTGACGTGTCGTGTAAAATCCAAGCAATTAAGTAAATTTAAAAACTCTTTTGCCATTGAGTCAGATTGATTGTCTATGTGTAAATTAAAATCACCAGATATAATAATAAAATTGTAAGTGGCATGGATTATTGCTAAAAATTCAGAAAATTCACTGATAAAAGCAACATCATGTTTTGGTGGTCTGTAAACAGTTATACAAAGAATTGAGGGACTGTTAAAAACAACCGCATGATGTTCAAAGGTGGTGTACTGATCAAATTGTATTTCTTTTGTCCTTAGTGAGTTGTTGATTATTGATGCAGTACCACCACCTTTCCTGCCACTTTTAAAAGAGAACGTAAAGTTAAAATTAGGTGGGGAAGCCTCAGTGAGAATAATTGGCGCGTCTGTACCCAGCCACGTTTCAGTTAAAGACAGACAATCAACCTTGTTGTCTAAAATCAGGTCATGGACAATAAAAGATTTGTTTAAAAGAGAGCGAATACTTAAAAGTGCCATGTTGATGTTGACGGGTGGTTTACAGACTGTGTGGTTAGATTGTTGATGTTTTGGGAGAGGTCTGAGGTTATTGAAGTTCACAGAGTGTACATGATGGAGTCTGGCTGTCTCTCGCTGAGTGATGATAACAGGAATGGGTGAATGGTTAATGAAAACAGAGGGTCCAAGTCCAGTATTGTGTGTGACAGAGGTGAAACTAAAATCATAGGAACTGGGACCTGGGGGACATTAATCAGTGGCGGAAAGTTCAGTCAGTGTACCTTTGGGCTGATGGGAGGAAAGTGACAGTTGAGTGTGTTGTAGACCGTATGCCAGGTTGGCGGTCAGCATGCGGGTGCCAGCTCTATTAAGATGAAGACTGAGCCAAAAAGATTTCTCCCCTCCCAAAAAGCATTGAAATTGTCAACAAAGCCGACATTGTGGGTACTGCAGGCTGATGAGAGCCAGGTGTTCAGGCTGAGCAGCCTGCTGAAGGGGGGTGGGGCCGGAGATAAAAACGCGCAGCTGGGGCCGTGAGAGTTCGTTGAAAAGCTGTGTGAAATCATGCTTTAAAAGCTTGGACTGTTGTCTGGAGGTGTCATTGGTGCCCACATGTATGACGACCCTGTTTACCTGAGGATGAGAATTCAGGGCGCTTGGGATTTTTGCAGTAATGTCTGCAACAGTGGCGCCGGGAAAGAACAGGGTGAATGCTCCCCTCAGACGGACGTTCTGTATGATGGAGTCCCCGATGACAAGTGTCGTGGCCTGTTGCCTGAGGGGGTCGGCTGGCTCGGTGGACCCATCCTCCCCGTCAGGCGCCCGGGGATGAGGACGTCCAGTGTGCCACCGCACCGCGTCCTTGAGGAGCCGCCTCCGCTGGGCTGAGGGATGGGGGGACGGAGGCGAGCGGCATGGCGCTGGGCGGCACGGCGCTGGACGTTGATCCGGTGGGGCACAGGCAACCATGAGTGGAGGGAAGGCTGTGGTGTCTGTCAGCGGAGGCACAGCATCCCTCAGGGAGACCTCGGGATCAGCAGGGCCCTGCTCCAGTGGCTCCACAATCATGGACAGAGCCGAATATTTGTTGGAGAGGGGGATGCCGATGGAGGAGGAAACCCCGCACGGAGCCCCGGCAGGAGCCTTCTTACGACTATGGACCACTACCTCAGACCATGGGGTCCCTTTGTTGGGAGTAGAGCTGGAGGGCCACTGACAAGTGGAGGAGGAAGGCTCCCATACGACGGTGTCCCTCAGTGCAGCGGCAGTGCTATGCTGTGGCAGCTCGCTGGTCTGTGTGCTCTCCAGCCAGCTGGACAACACCGGGAGCCGAGATTTAAAAGTGGCCAGGAGTGAGTCCTTCCTCTGCAGCCTGTCTGAAAGTCGACCAATGTCCTCCAGAAGATCGGCGATCTTTCGCTGGGCTCTTTTAAGTTGTTGACCAACTTCAGCAGGTAAGGAAGCGTCTATGGTGGTAGCCTCCATGGGTGCCATGTAGCTAACTCAGCAAGAGTGCATAAAATCCCAGAGTCTGATGACTAAAACCTTTTATCCGGTAAAAGCAAAAAGATAAAAATAATCCTTTGCTCAAGGAACAAAATGTTAAAAGCAATCAGAACATTTTAAAACCGAATAAAAACGATGGCTTGCGGGAACCTGCACTCTTTTTCTCCGCTACGACAGATAAAATAAAATAAAGTAAAATAAAATAAAAACCCATACACGGTAGAAGTTCAACTTAAAAGCCAGCAAACTCTTAAAATGCAGTCTTAAAAGTTGTTTAAAACCGGTTAAAATGGGTTAAAAAGTTGGTCGCAGGAGAGAGAAATGGCTGGGTGCCATACGACGCCAACGCATGCGCAGTCAATCAACTGGAGTCTTCCGAGTCCCTTGGTGCCCTGAAGCCATGCACTTTAAACCATCACCTCTCTGGACTGCAGTTGCCAACTCTTTGCATGTTACACCTGTCAGAGTTGATTTGCCAGCCATCCCCAAGCTTGAACTCTCAGAGAGCGGTGCACTCAAAGACTTTCAAGAGAGGGTGGATTTCCAAATAACCACTGGTTGATCTATGGGGTCGTGTTTGACATATGATCAGGCTTTATGTCTTAATCTGTTGAAATAAAGAACAGTTAAGATATCTAAACAAAACCTGATCTCAGAATTTTAACCTGTTAGTGTCCACTGGGTATCAGCAGTGAAGTCAGGTACATGTGGAGTGAGATGATGGAATAAAACATCAGCTAAAAAGTGGTGAGAATGTGTTTCTGTCACAGAGATGTAGTTTAAGATGCATAAGAGGAGCATCCAGCTTCCACATTCAAATTGCTCTGGGGGCATCTATGTGCTGTGAATAGCAATGCCAAGTGGTGTGCAGCTGAAATGAGAACAGCGCGGCTGGATTTACAAATGGCTGTCGCAATCGCAAGATAATGCTGTGGGAAATGTAATGTCTGTTTTTCTCAGCCAGTTTTAGACTTCTTTCTTGGACAGAAAAGCGGTCAAACTTTGGAATAATAGGAAGCCGTACCGCGTGGGATACCAGTGGCTTTTTGTCAAACACTTCTGAGGTGAAGTGTCAAAAAAGCAGCCAGAGAGAGAGAGACACCCTCTAAATCCTTTTCTGCCAATTTCACCCTCCGACAAGCATCCATCATGTTTTCCAGGTTCAGATCGTGTCATTGAGTTGTTGACATCAGCAGCAGACAAGATGACACTCAGATTGGGGTGAGGGAGTTTGTATGCTGCGGTGCACCCTGGGCTAAGCCTAAAGCTATGAGTAAATTGGATCATGCTTCGACAGCTGGCTCTGCTGCCGTCTCCTTAACAAAAGAAATAAGTTTTCCTATTCCAAGCAGCTGAACAGTCACTTGTCTCACTTTGAAACATAGAATTACTCATTCAGATTGTAAAAGATGAGGAGTCACAGATGAATGAATGAAATCTGCAAATCAAGTTTTTTTTTTCTTCTCATTCTTACCTCCAACTTCCTTCAAGCTTGCTCAATCGCCCAATGTTTCATCACTAAGTGGGTTTAAAGTCACTCTAAGGGACTGTGTGTTCTAACCTTTATTCACATTTCTGCGACAAGGTGATGAAGGAGTGTAAGAGCTAGCTAACACTGGTAAATATTTACAGTTAAAATAAGACACATCACCTCAAGAGTTTTTGCAGTATCATTAACATTGTTTACTGTGTTAAAACACTAAGCAGCACTTTATTTTCTTCTGCTTCAGGGTCAGGAAATGAGCTTGATACCAGTTTAGAGAAGGATTTAGACAAGGTTTAGATGGCAATAGACCTGAAAGAGAAGTCTGGCGGTCAAGCAATGACATAGACATAGGGCAACAGATTGAATAAAAAAAGGCTCCAGAGCTGATTCTGATGAGGACAATAGACCTGAGAGAGATGACTGCACAAATAATGATGGTGATGCAGACACATCTCAACATTGTGAAGAAGAACCAGGACCCGACTCATGCCAGACAGCCACCATGCCGCTGCTGGGTTGGGGAGGAATGTGGAGAGATAGAGAGAGAAGAGGGGAGAGGGCAGGGGGAGAGAGAGAGAGAGAGAACAAGATAAGGGGAAGGAGAGAGAGAATGAGTAAGGTGAGGGAGGGGGAGGGAGAGAGAGAGAGTAGAGAACGAGGGTGAGAGAGAGACAGGGAACAGCAGTAACAATAGCAACAACAACAACAGCTCATGTAATGGTGAAACAAAATTAATTCAGTTTACAGGGTTGGGATATGACAAATTATGGACAATGTTAAATTAATTAAATGTGATTACAGTAAGCAGGCCTAATAGTAGTCCAATCTTGTTTTATGTTATTAATGTCTATTAATGTTCATGTCTGCAGTAACAGTCCAGAGGAATCCAAGAGAAGAAGTAGCTCAGGGCCTGAGGCGGACAATCATAGACGATGCGGCTAACAGTCCAGAGGATTCCAAGAGAAGAAGGAGCTTAGGGCCTGAGGCGGACAATCATAGACGATGCGGCTAGAGTCAGGTAGGTCTGCAGCAGCCATCAGTCCAGAGCAACCTAGGGGGCTGGGGGCTGTTAGAGACTTACAGAGAGATCTGGCATCGACTTCCACGGACTCAACGTTATCACTGTGAAGAACAAATATCCCCTGCCACTCATCGATCCCTCCTTTGAACCTCTCTGCAACACCACGGTCTTCTCCAAACTGGACCTCCGTAACGCCTATCTCCTGGTTCGCATCAGAGAGTGCGATGAGTGGAAGATGGCCTTCAAAACACCCATTGTAGAGACTTTTAGGTCACCATATTGTAAATAAGTGTCTCCTGCTTTGAATAATATTTGATATTTCCTTGATAATTTCAGTTATAAAAGAAATCGGGACAAGCTGCATGAAAGTTAATATTTTCTATTTTTATTCCGAGCATTTCCTACTGTTCTTCATAATAATGAATTGTATTTTTGCTTACTGTTCTACTGGGCATGCGCAGTGGACGTAGTAGTGGTAGTAATATGGCGGAACGCATTAGATGATCACACTCATTCATTCACTGACAGGAGTGCACATACCATCAGTGAGTAGCGACTAAACTTCGTGATCCCGGAGTTGCCAGCCACTGTGGAGACTCACTGGTGATGGGTTTAGCACGTGGAAGCGGCTCTAGGTCCAGATGATCTTTTAAAGTTATTGATTTGCGTTCTGAGACGTACATCTTTGTATTATTGTAGTTAGCGCTTGTGTTAGCAACATGCTATCCCGTCTCGGACGTTCAATGAGATTGCATTGTGGGTAACGTAGTCACTTATTGTTGCGCTCTCACTGTGTTGCGTGTTTAATGCGAGCCTTGAGAACTACATATTTTTTGCACCGTGGTTTAGCGATGGTCCAGTCTAATAGACTTTATATGTTATTGCTTCTTGTGTTTAGAAGTAGAAACAGTCTTGTGTTTAGTAATAGAAACAGAGAAGCATTACATGCAATTAACTCAAATGTTTATTGTTGTGCATGATATTTTGCATTTACATTCTATGAATATGTTGTGATTTTGGTTTATTTCTGTATTCCTTCCAGGTTTATAACCTGTGCAATGGCTGTGCAATGTTACATTAAATAAAAGCAACTAGTCAAGCACGAGTTGTAAAGGGGTGTTCAGACCAAACGCGACCAGGTCGCGTCGCGTTGGTCGGTCATATCGCATCGCGTGGCGCCCTGGTGTGTTCACAGCAGGTCCAAAGCTGCAGTCGCAGGTCGCGGCTGGTCGCCGCTGACCCGCTTCTCCCACCTTCCTTCTCCCTCCTTTTCTCCCTCATATATACACCCCGCAGCCCCTTCCAGCGCTTGCGGCACACACACGTTGAAACATGTAGCCTAGCAAGCAGGGGAAGTTTGCTATTTTCAGAAAATAGTCTGCTCACTGAAATAAATAAACAAGCGACCAGAAAGCCCGAAATCATGGGCCACCTTCGCCACTGTGGAGACTCACTGGTGATGGGTTTAGCACGTGGAAGCGGCTCTAGGTCCAGATGATCTTTTAAAGTTATTGATTTGCGTTCTGAGACGTACATCTTTGTATTATTGTAGTTAGCGCTTGTGTTAGCAACATGCTATCCCGTCTCGGACGTTCAGTGAGATTGCATTGTGGGTAACGTAGTCACTTATTGTTGCGCTCTCACTGTGTTGCGTGTTTAATGCGAGCCTTGAGAACTACATATTTTTTGCACCGTGGTTTAGCGATGGTCCAGTCTAATAGACTTTATATGTTATTGCTTCTTGTGTTTAGAAGTAGAAACAGTCTTGTGTTTAGTAATAGAAACAGAGAAGCATTACATGCAATTAACTCAAATGTTTATTGTTGTGCATGATATTTTGCATTTACATTCTATGAATATGTTGTGATTTTGGTTTATTTCTGTATTCCTTCCAGGTTTATAACCTGTGCAATGGCTGTGCAATGTTACATTAAATAAAAGCAACTAGTCAAGCACGAGTTGTAAAGGCCTCCTCCTTGGAGGTGCGGTCCAGGGAAAACGCGCACCCCACGTCGTACATGACCGGGTGATAACTCAAGGCAGTGATAAACTGCTCCTCCATTGTGATTCTTTTTCTCCTCCTCCTTTGCTGTGCCGGTTTGTCAGCAGAGCCCTGATTGGCTGTCTCGGCACGGAGTCGCGGATAGTCACTCCCAAAGTTCAAATATTTGAACTTTGGGAGCGACGCGACTTGGCGTCCTGCGACCTCGGCGACGTGACTTGGCGACTGGTCGCCAAGTCGCGTCAGGTCGCGTCGCAGGCAGCTGGCGGTCGCCGAGTCACGTCAGGTCGTGACTGTCCATAGACTTTGCATTGGGAGCCATCGCCGAAGTCGCGTTTGGTCTGAACACCCCTGAACAGTGTGTTTCCTGTTAAGCCCTTTCCGAGGGCTAAGCTCAAAATGTCGGAACACCCATGGGCCACTTTAAATACCTCGTCATGCCCTTTGGTCTCACCAATGCTCCCGCTGTG